CTGGTAAATCAGATTTAAAATACCTCCTTCATGAAGTTTACCAATAAAATAAATAGAGCACCGAGCACACAGATTGCGAATGATGGCTACAGATACCTTCCTTATGTGCATGCATATGCCTTTGTGTGTTAGTTACACAATACAAATTTAGTCTTTCCACTATAGTACATCTCAGGCAGTTGTTTTGTTTGATGAACTGTCAGTAGCAAGTGTGTCTTTCCAAAGCCTATCAACCTGGTGTCCTACGTGCAATGTTGGACTGCCTACAAAAAGGCAAATGTTTCCCACGAAGTGGCGATCAAGATGAGCACCAAGGTCCTGCCAATTGCCCAATACCATTTCCACCTATGTAAGCTGGGTTCACAGGAGCCCCTGAGCAACAACAACAGTCCAATGCTCTGCACTCCTCACCATGAAGATTCACGTCAATACAATGTGTCCTGCTTTTTCTTTTCCAAAGCACAATTATGTGAGTTCTCTCTCTCTCTCTTTCTCTCTCTCTCTCTCTCTCTCTCTCTCTCTCTCTATCTATCTATCTGTCTGTCTATCTATCTATCTTTCTCTGTCTTTGAGACAAGGCCCAGGCTGGCCTGAACTCATAGCAATCCTCCTGCCTCAGCTTCCCATGTGCTAGGAGTTCAGGAATCTAGTTAGATCTCATATTAATTAAATAAGTTATTTGTCTAAAAAGGTCTATACAAAGGGTGATTGAAAAATACGTTGAATGTCTAAATTTTTAAAAATTATTACAGTAAAAGGCATATTACTATGAATCCCACTTGGAATATTTTCACTTACTTTGTGTCGTTGTGAGTTCAAGGCCAGCCTGAACTGCATAGCGAGCCCCTGTCTCAAAAAGACAAAAAAAAAAAAAAAAAATCTACCTAGAAGCTGTGAGTGGTCCTCAGATCAGAAAGAGGAGCTCCTGGGGAAAGGATTCTGATTGTAAGATGTCACTTTCCAACCTGAAATAAGGGACCTGACAGCCTGCCCACAAGAACGTTTTACCAGATGGGGGCTTGCTGGGACAGCCAGGAATGAGCTCAAGGGGAACACAGAGCTGGGAGGCTGCTTCTGGCCCCATTCTCTCCTCCTGGTAACAATACCATGTCTCCTGTGGCCACTGGCCAAGGTTCACCTTGCTGCACTGGAAATGGAACAGCACAGCAGCTTTCCAAGTGTCCCCAACAAACACCTACTCTAGGCCTAGGACATAGGTAAGGGTGCTTCACAAAGCAGTATTTACCCTTGCTGGGAGAAATTCATTGTGGCGGTATTTTCTACTCTGCTTCATTTCAGAAAGAAAAGAAAAGAAAAAGAAAAAAGGAAAGCTTCCCTGCCCAGGGACGGGTCAGGACCAGCCGCACGAGGCTAAATGGAAGATTGTCGCACAGACCCTGAGCTTCCCCACAAGTCTCCCCAGCGCCATCTACTGTGCGCGCTGGGTATTACGAGCGCTGCTTCCCCCAAACACTTCGGGTTTTACTTTCTGAGATTAAATCCGAGAACTCTTCATCACAACTGGAAGCGTCCCTTAAACGGTTCAAGGACAAGCTTCCATGAACAGCCAACACAGAAAGCCTGTCCTCCCAAAGGGCTTTTGCAAGTTACCCGACTCCACCCCAAGCCCCACCACTGAGACCTCAGGGGCAAGACTGTAATCGCTGGTCTCTAGGAAATAAAAAATTTAAATTTGGGGCATCCTACACTAGCCTTTCATGCAAAGCTGCTGTAGCCCATCAGGTGTAACAAGAGATTCAACAGTCCTATATCAGACGGAATGGCCATATTTTTTCTATAGCAACCTTTGATTCTTTCCCCTAACTTGTTCCAAAACTCCTCCAAATAATATAGAATGCCATTTTGACACAGATTCAAGTGTAGAAATCGCTTCTGCTTCTTTGTGAATGATGCAGGATTTCAATGTTAGAAATAACCTTGTTTTTAGAATTCAGTTTTTTAAGTTCAGTATTAGTAAACTTTTCCTACAAGCCAATCTGAATTCATTTGATTTGTATTTTTGAAGCACGTATATTTAGAAGTATCTTTGTAACTTCTCCACAGTCTGCTTAAATAATTATAAAAGAGCTACTTACTTACTTACTTGCTTACTTATTTGCAAGTAAGAACCTGCACTCATCCAACAAATTAAGATGACTTAATTTATCTCTGCCTTAAAACTGAGACACATATAGCAATTTTAATTACCCTGCAGTATTTTATGTGTGAAAATAAGAACAGGAAGAAAAACACAAAGGTACAGCTGCTCGCCCTGACTTAAAAGTTGGAATTTTATAAGCAGTGTCTTTAATTTGAAAATGAAGAACAATCAAATCTATGAACTCTGAAATATTTTTTTCTCTTTGAATAAAAAATTTTCTAAGTGATTTGACAACAACAATTTTCAAAACTATAGTGCAAGTGTGATTTAGTGATGCAGAGAGAAATTGTTTCCTTTAATAATCACTCGCAAAAATTAAAAAGGATCACCACAGAGTCGCCCTGCATTGAAGTTACAGGGTCACATAAAGGTTCTTATTATCTATGGTTGCCAGAGGCTTTTCACTTTCCAACTGCTATTTTGGGAGGTTCTAATTTTTTTGCTAGCTATTAATTAATAAGATTACTATTTCAACAGCAGAATCAAAAAAGGGTGTGGCCCAGTCCCTAGTGGCTCCTCAGGAGCCGGGTCTATTATTCCAACTTCCCTAACAGAGCAGGGGCTCCATGTCACAAGTCATCTTGCAACATTTTGCGCCATCACATATGTACAATTTGTGAGTCACAAATGTAACTTAGACATTTTTCATGCGAACCCAGAGCATCCCTCCCAAGGGGAATTCAAGAGGCTTTCCCTGAAGGAAACTGAGAAGCATTCACTCATCAAAATGTCAAGAACTATGATCTATCTTACCCTGGTATCTTGCACGATAGCCTGGTTCTTTCCTTTTTTGGTTTATGTATAAAACAAACATTAAATTAAAATATCAAACAGTTTTAAATATTAGCATTTTCACATTATAATCTCATAAGTGCATCATTTGGGATAGTTGCATAAAAGTTCGGCTCAGCTACAGTCATCTCAAATTATCTACTAGGTATTAAACATACGTAAAAGCCACACTCACATGCGTCTCTGGCACTTGGCTGACACAGAGACACATCGTTTCTTTATTACAGTTACTCCTCAGGTCCCTGGTCCTTCCTGGCCATTACTTATTCTATTAGTTTCATTCATGATCAACCTGGGAGAAGCAAAAGTGTTTTTGCTTAAAGCCAAACCAAAATCTGTCTCTACAGGGAGATCCCTCTCGCTCTCAGCTGCTGCCGCCTTCCGCTGTGGTGTGGGAAAGACAGATCTTCTGTGCTTCTCTAGGGCCAGGATGTTAAAAGACTAAAATATGAAAACAGGACAAGAAAATAAGGTTTATTTCTAATGGTTACATTTACGAATGAAATGCTTTTAACAGAAAGAATGCAGCAGTATGAACTCACTATTTACAAAATTATCATGAGCTTTATTTCAAACAGATTTGTGGTGTGATCTGCTAATTGGGTATATGGATACACTCATTTGGAGGAAATTTCAAATATCCAAATGTTACCTTACCTCAGCTCTCTGCCCTTTCCTGGAATATCTATATATCATCTATATCTATAACCATATCCATGTCTATATAACTATAGCCATATCTATATGCATCTTCCTGCCCTGGTCTAGTTGGAAAAAATATAGCAACTCAAAAAAAGACAACAGAAACCACACAACCCAGGATAAAATCAAATGCTGAACTTCAGACTTCCGAGCAGTAGTTCTAACTATCAATCCTAAAAGTATCAAGTGGCTGTGAGAATCAGCCAATGACTTGGGTCATTACACAGCTCCCCCAAGAGCCACAACAGGGGACACAAAGAAGACAGTGGAACTTAGGCTGGATCATTCACATGGGCACCAAACCCTAGAGGAAAAGTCTCAGTGGGGAAAGCGGGGTCAGTATTTAATTCCAAGCCCTCTCCCCGTCCAGCTTCCTACAGGGCCTCTAGAGCCTCGTGCTCCAGCCCAGCCGGAAGTCAGCAGCTGCCCGGACACCGGCGGGGAGGTCACCAGGCTGCTCTCCTTGCTCAGGTGCGCTGGGCCGGGGAAGTCCTGGCCGCAGAGCGCTGCACCTCACGGCCCAGGAGCCGACTGCGCACAGCTTTCCCAGGCCCAAGTAGGGCTCCTCTCCCCGGGCAGACGGCCCTCTCAGGCAGGCAGCAACCCAGCACAGCTGCACTGTCCATGGCAGAAAAAAGCCCTGTCCTCGCGCTAATGATGGTAAACAATGGGAAACGCATTTATGAGCCCTGAAACTGAGCTGACCAAAACGCGAGTGGGCGCGCAGCCCCTCTGCAGTGGCTCGAGGCTGGACATGGCGTCCACACGCGCGGCCTGCTCTTCATGTTCTCGTTTTGAGTCCGATTGCTGCGTGAATGTCCACTTCCTGCCAGTTGCAATTCAAGACACCCGAATACCACCCGAATGAGAACCCTGAGAACGCACTCGTCTCTGGGGAAGGAGGCCACCCCCGCGCCAGGGCTCTGCACCCCAGTGTAGACCCAAGAGTCCAGGCCAGGTTGCACCGCACTCGTGGCCGCCCCGCCGCGGCCCGGGCCGTGCTCAGTCGCCCTCAGCCCAGCGCTCCAAGCCATCCGAGGAGGTGGAGGTGGGGACGTGGCCAGTACCCGCGGCGCTGGCGGCCCCCACACCCCAGAGGCCCCGCGCCCGCCGGCCGGAACTCCGGCTGGCACGGGACACCTCAGCCGTCGGAGCGCGGCTCTCCCGACCGACCGCGGCCAACGCGACTCCTCCGGGCCGGACCACGGACCCGCCCGGCAGGCGGGCTGGGACCCGGGCAGCGGCGCCCTGGACCCTCGGCCGGGGGTGGGGGTGGGGAGGCCGGCCCCGCCCGCTGCGCCCGGAGCCGCCCCGCCCGCTCCGACGCCCCGAGAGGCGGGCCGTGGGGTGCGGTTAAAAGGCGCCGGCCCCGGACAGGTGTCGCAGCGCAGCGCCCGGCGCGCTCCTCCCCGCGCTCCCTCCAGTCGGCGCCCGGCGCAACCCGAGACCACGCGTGCAGGTGAGGCCCGCCGCCCGCGCTGACCACCTCCCCGGCCGGGGGCTCCGGGGCCCGGCCGAGCAGCGCGGGAACGGCCCGGGTTCGGGCCGGCGGGGTCCGGGCCGGGCCGAGCTCCGGAGTTCGAGGGGCGGCGCGCGGGGCAGCGGACGGTGGCGCCCGGGCTGGACTTGAGGCCGCGGGCGCGGGTTCCCGGTGTTCCTGGGGCATTTCCCCGGCGGCCTGGAGACTTTCTGTGCCGCCACCAAAAGTTTTAAATTAACCGAAAGTTCAGCAGGAAGCCTCCGCGAGCGGAGACCGACCTTTACCTCCGCGCGCCGCCGACAGCCGCGGGTGAAGTCGGCGACACGGCTCCGGGCGGGCCGGGGGCCCCCACCCCAGCGGGGCCGCGATTTGGGCAGCTTTGCCTTTTCAGCACCCAGGAGCCTCCGGGCACCGCGCTGTGAGGAGGGAGAGCTCGCGGACTCCGCGCACACACGAGCCGGCAGGACTGCGGCTGGCCCGGTGCCCCGCTCTGAAGGGGCAAGATGGAGACTTGCATTGTCCAGCTCCTGAGAGCTGGGCTCGAGGACCCTTCCCGGGACTGCCTTGAGAAGCGCGTCCTCATTTGCCCTTTGAGTCCACTTTAAAACTCTGGTGCTTGTGACTGGCAGTCCGGGAGACATACAGGAGGGTGGGCAGCAGAGTGGGGACCCCCGTAAGGAAAGGGTGTGGAGGTAATGGGGGGAAAACGCTCTTTTCCTTCCCTGGGCCCAGTGACTCACCCAAAAGAATCAAGGAGCTCCTGCACTCACCCTGGCGGGGCTCCAAGGCTCGCAGAGTGACCTGGGCCAGGTGAGAACCTGCATGTGACGCTCAGGGTCAGGAGGCCAGGAGAGCGGCTCTTCTTCGCTGATCTAAATACTGAGGACAGTTGCGTCCTGCGGGCGTAGCCTCTCTGAGCCTCTTACTCCCATCCGGCTGCGCATCTGTTTTAATTTACTCCTCTTTCCTGCAGGACCTTCCACACAGTTGCAGGTGCGTTGTGATGGGGTGCCACTATCTGAGGAGTTAAAGGCAGCCGGATTGTTTGAGCAGGAGTTCTAGACCAGCCTATAGTGTGACCCAGAAGTCAGGCTTTAAAAAATGGCAATATAGGAGTTTCTGAACTGTTTTTCAAAACGGTTGGTGGTGGACTGGCCCAAGGAGGCACTGGAGGCTGCTGAGGGGCCAGGACACCAGTTGCACCCCACTCCACGCCCTGGTGGCACATGGCTGTTCATTCCTGTGCATGTACTGTTTCTCAATTTGTGAGGAGCTGAAGGTCTAGTTCTAGGAGATGGTTTTGATAAAACTTGAATGCTTGCTTTCTCGATGGGTTTGTTGCTGGGGATGGCACCAGACTGAAGGGTGGGACTTCTCTCCGGACTCCTAGGCCTTCTGCAGTCTGGAGCAGCTGAGGCAGAGCTGAACCTGGGTGGCCCACTCTGGTTTCCAGCAGAGTTTTCTATTTCTGAGCTATTGAATTGGGTGACACGTTTCACCAGAACATCTCGGTCTGACCTGACTGCAGTGCGCGTGGCTCTCCTGCTTCCTTGGACCAAGGTCGCCTTCGGGTGACTTCAGCAGCTGTGGTAATAAGAGCGTTCATTCTGAGCCTGCCCCAGCTCAGAGGGAAGCAGGATGCAACTTGCCTGCAAGGAGGCGACCAGGATGCTCTTAAGTAAGAGGCTGAGAATTCATTACAGCCTCAAAGGAGTAGGTGACACGTGACTCATCCGCCGTGGGGAGCGTGGAATCCTGTTTAGAAGAAGAGCTGATTGTGACAGACGAGGTGTAGCTGTGAATCAGTGGGGACGGTTCCTGTCCCGATGAACTCAAGGCCACCGGCAGGGGAGGATCTTCCAGGGCGTGCTCTCCGCCAGCGGTGCAGCACCCAGCCGGCTTTGGTTCTGAGCTGCACCAGGGTCTGGGGAGCTGGGAAGACCCACAGGGATGAGGGTTGGACTCAGGGGGTTGTCAGAACACAGGTGTGCTTTTAAGCTACAAGTACTTCCCTTCAGTAGAGCCCCAGGCCCCAAGTTTACTCAGCTGAACAAGGTACTATTTATTAGAGACTCACAGAAACCTATTCCAGATGATATGGGAGCCACATATCTAATCCCATGGCAAATTAATTGCTTTTTTAATGCACAAACTAAGACATTTTATTAGCAGAATATACAACTTAAACAGTATCTTGGTTACCAATAATTCCAAATTTTGCTTTTAAAAATTGACTTGTTAGAAGAATATTTTTATACTCAATATTAATGATACTTTATTTTATTTTATTTGGTACCAGAAATCAAACTCAGGACCTTGTGCTTGCCAGGCAGGTGCTTTACTTTACTCAATATTAAATACCTTTATTAGAACTTTCAGCAAATCGTTTCTTAGTGCTAATTTTAAAACATTTCCATGTCAAATATAAACTACCTGAAAAGCCTAATTTAGTTATTTCCCTTAAGAGACGTACGGTTCCACTGAATGAAAAGAAAAAACCGCAAATTTTTTGGCTCAATGCAATGGTGTCAGTATCTTATGATACTTTCCATAAATTTCAGCAAAGTAAATAAATCCACTTACTACCATTTCTGAGTTTTATGGGAGACCGTGTAAGGGTCAGGCAGAGATTGAGAAGTACTTTCTTACTCAAACAAGAAACCAGCTGGGTTCTGTCCAAACCAATGACTGCCGTCTTATGTGTGTTTGTCTTTTCCAGTACCAACCTCTCAGTGGACAGGATGGATTGGGGTGCGCTCCATGCGATCCTGGGAGGTGTCAACAAATACTCCACCAGTATCGGGAAGATCTGGCTCACGGTCCTTTTCATTTTTCGAGTCATGATCCTCGTGGTGGCCACTAAGGAGGTGTGGGGAGATGAGCAGGCTGATTTTACCTGCAACACCCTCCAGCCTGGCTGCAAAAATGTGTGCTATGACCACTACTTCCCCATCTCGCACATCCGGCTGTGGGCCCTGCAGCTGATCTTTGTGTCCACGCCGGCACTCCTGGTGGCCATGCACGTGGCCTACCGGAAGCATGAGAAGAAAAGGAGGTTCATTAAAGGAGAGATGAAGAGCGAATTCAAGGACATCGAGGAGATCAAAAATGAGAAGATCCGCATAGAAGGGTCCCTGTGGTGGACCTACACCACCAGTATCTTCTTCCGGGTCATCTTCGAAGGTGCCTTCATGTATGTGTTTTACATCATGTACAACGGCTTCTTCATGCAGCGCCTGGTGAAATGCAATGCTTGGCCTTGCCCCAACACGGTGGACTGCTTTATCTCCAGGCCCACAGAGAAGACTGTCTTTACTGTGTTCATGATTGTGGTGTCAGGCATTTGCATCTTGCTAAACATCACAGAATTGTGTTATTTGTTCATTAGATATTGTTCCAAAAAGTCCAAAAAACCTGTTTAGCATTGCTCAGCTATAGATAAAAGATGAAGTGACCTGTGTTTAGCTGTCAAGGCTCAGTCACCAGCATTTGCCAAGACAAAGATTCTCATCTTAAATTTAACCATTAGAACCCCCTAGGCCTCCCAGGAAACCCAGGTGCCTGCTATGGGGGGCCAAGTTCCCAGAGCCCCAAAACAAGTCCATGTGTTAATGTTTACTAAAATTAGTTCCAATGAGACCCGAACTGGTAGGGTTATTGGTGTAAGATACTTTCGTATTTAAAAACCAAGTCTAGTGTCATTTGTTTCTGTTTCTCTGAGGGCAGGACATAAAGCCCAGGTCCTCTAGGAGATGTAGGAAAAAGTTCCAGTTCCCCACTCAGACACCCTCTGCCAGGTTCCCCCAGTTAAAGGTAAACACAGAGAATCATGGTTCTTTTATTTGCTTTAGAAGTTGTAATCTGTAACAAAGGACAAAGTTACCTAATGCTTCAATCACTTAAATAAGACAGTTTCTTTTGATCCAAAGATGTTCTGAAAGCTATTATACCCTCTTCCTATGTCAGTCTCAGATGATGATGTATAAAGGCTGTGTGATTGGATCCTCTAATTTAATTTAAAGACGGCCTTTTGGTGATGAGTGACTTGCAGAGTGACGTTGTTAATAACCACGGTACATTGCACCACCCATGAGGCCTCTCTCAAACGAGCCAATTAGAAGTTCCTCATGACAGCCTAGGAAAGCAGATGCCCTCATTTCAAAACTATACATAGAGCTTTTCACCAGAAACACCAGCAGAAGCCTGCCGTGGGTAACTCCTGCCACCACCCGCTTCCTTTCCGGTTTTCCCTCTCATTGCTGGGATGTGGTTTCCAGTGTCAGAGGGAACATGATTTACAGAGGTTGCTTGGGAACGTTACTGCTGCAGTTATTAGATGGTGCAGAACAAAATGGGGAGGGGGCGGGAGGATTTACCATTTTCAGAGAAGATGGAAAGACCGTACTCTAAATTCTGTTGATTAAAAATGAGTTTTTTCTACTTTGAAAGATTGTTTCACTCTTCAACACCCAATTTTTGCATGAAAATATAACTAATGGACATCTAAAAAAAGTATAAATAGGGTTTAGGTCAACATGTAGCAGCTCTACAGGACAGCTTAAACTCTAATATTACTGTTCTGCTTGACATATTTTCCAAAAAATGGTGCCCAACATACTTAAGTGAGGGAAGCATTTTCTATTACCAACAATAGCATCATAAAACTATTTTGTATAAATAGTAGCATTGGGCTGGGGATACAACTCGGTCGCACAAGCACCTGTCTGGCAAGTGAGAGGTCATGAATTCTCTCCCCGGTGCCAAAAAAAAAACACCAAAAAGTAGTAGCATTGGGACCAGGGATATAGCTCAGCAGCTTAAGTGCTGTCTAGCAAGTGCAAGGTCCTGAGTTTCATTCCTAGTACCAAAAAAAGTAGCAGTTGAAACATGCTTGCAACTAAAATAATGTTTGCAAAGTCTTAAGTGTCATTTACCATATTAAAATATAATTCATATAATTCTTTAAAATCTAATAGCTTTTAATAGAACATCACACTGGGGCTGGGGATTTAGTGCAGCGGCATAAGCACCTGCCTTGCAAGCAGGCAGTCGTGAGTTCGATCCCCAGTACCGATAAAAAGGAAAAAGACAAAAAAAAAAAATAGAACATCACACTTTGCTTTCATCTATGCATGAATTTATAAATACACTCTTTATATATCACCACCCACAGGCGGGCTAGTAGGTTACTGCCCACCATTTGGGATCCTTCTGTCCTAATTACAGATAATGACCAGAAAAACTGTGAGTAGAAAAACTGGTAGGAAGTGGAGGGAAAGATTGTTTATGCCCAGCCCTGTGCCATCACTGGCAAGTTCTGACAGACACCGCTCCAAAAAGCGTGTGGAGCGCAGGGTGGAAGCACGGCTCAAGGAGCACTAAGTGGAGGTCACTGGATAATCAGTTTGGCTCCTGCTGAACAGCAGAAGCCGACATTTCAGAATGTTCTCCACGGGCAAGTGTGAGGTGAGGTCATGAGTTTGATCCCCAGTACCAAAAACAAATAAAATAAAAATTTCATGGTGAATTCTGGTAGAGGCTGGAGAAAAGTCCTTTAAGATGTTCTTTCTATGGGATTTTCTATTAGTCTGTAATCAAAACTAGTTTTCTGAAACCAGTGTCCCTTCAGTGCCCATTCCATGAACAGTAAAACAGCCAGCCGGAGTTCCCGTCCCTGTGTGGGAACAGCACACACACAGCTGTCCTGGGACAGTCGCCAGAGGCCAGGTCCCTGCAAGGCACAGGCTCTCTGACCAAACCTGTCAAAGCATTTTATACACCCATAGGTATGAGTGTGTTTATGGAGAATGTGTGCTTTCTCAGATGAATTTGAAAGGAAAAATACAACATCTCACTTTCACCCACAAAACAGGAAAGAAGTAAATCTTTACTAAGGTACCCTGCACATACATGGCCTGTTAAGACAGCTCACAACTTGTTAAGTAGCTGGATTCCTCCTACAAACTACACAGATTATTATTATTCTCAAAGTATTAGAAAAAGATGAAGTCAAAAAAATTACAGTCCAAAAAATAATAATTACAGTCCACTACCAACTGCTTTATAGAACTGGTGGAAAGTTCTGGCCGCATGCCTGAGCACTAAAGCTGGGACCTGAAAATGATAATCCTGAATCTGCAGCTCGAGTCACAGATCCGTCCCTTGTTAGGGGCCTGCTCAGAAGGCCTCCATCCAACTAAGTGCTCAGGAAGCGTGACCTCCTCATTCTGGAGCGTGGATGCAGCTTCACTACCAGCAATACCCACACCACATTCACTGGCAAGCCGGGAAACCCGTGTCAAAACTCCATGCACCTGCGAACACCTGGGCGTGCACACAGCCAGCCAGGAGCAAGGGGTCAGATCCACTCAGAGGGCCAGTGGAGGTTCCATGGGCACGCAGGGCCTGAGAGGGTCCTGCTCACTGCCCTGACCAAGCTATACCCAGGAAGCAAGAGCCAAAAGGGTCAAGGAGGGCGGAAGGGAGCCCACACGCTTACCTGCCCTCACTTTTCTCCTGCTGAAATGGGCCTCCTGAGCCCTTCCCAAGCTGAGTGTGTTGCCATCTGCTTCCCCTTCCACACACAGGTCTGAAGCTGGAAGGTGCCAGATGATAATCTAGGAAAACCCAGCAAATCTTAATTAACTTGAAACTTGAAAAACAACATGTTCACCCAAAGTCTGAAATCAACATGACGCAGGGTCAGAAAGGGCAGGCGGCATCAGCCAGGAAGAATGGCAGGACAGAGAGACAGGAGCAGAGAGAGGTGTGGTGGCAAACACTTGTAATTCTAGTGCTTTGGGAGGCTGAAGCAGAAGGATCATAAATGCAAGCCCAGCTTGGGTAATTTAAGAGATTTAGTGAGTCCCTGTCTCAAAATTTAAAAGAAGAAAAAAGATCTGGGGCTGTAGATCATGCAAAAGTTCTGGATTCAACCACCAGTACTATCCTTTTTTTCTGATTGCTTAGACAAATGCCCAACACCCAAAATTAAAAGACTAAAGGTTTATTTTAGATCATAGTTTATAGAGGTTTCAGTCCATAATCGGCTGGTTCCAAGGCAGAGAGGCGTGCAGAGGGGCACAGCAGGGGAGAAACAGTTCATGGCATACAGAGGGCAGAAAAGCATCCAGGAGCAAGGGCAGCGGCAGGCAGAAACACCAACAGACAGCCAGGATTTGGAGGCAGATTTATTGACACTGATGGGCATTGATCGGGATTATTTCCAGAGTGGCCCTGATCTCTGGTGGTCTAGGGCTTACTTGAGATCAGCAAGCCAGAAGTACAGAGGTAGAATGGCTTGTCAGTTTGGGATTATTCTATACAATGTGCATTATAGTGACCAGCTGAGCATCACAGTGACCAGAGACAAGAGCAACTGGATGTGGAGCAGGAGCTGTAACCTCCGGCAACTGAAGTATGCTGGCTGGGGTACCATTTTTTGCTGCTTAACCAACAGCAAGTAATGATCCTGCTCCTGTCCCATTTTTCTTATCCAGGCTACTCACCCTCAGGGCAAGGTAGCATTCACCCTCTTAGCCCTGGCATTGCACCCTTGATCCTAGCGTCACACACCCTAGATCTGCCACCTCCACAAAGCCCCACCTATGACCACATGAGACTTTGGGGGACATCTAGATACAAGCCATAACAAGTATAGATGATTAGACAGATCTATAGCTAGCTAGATTAGATTACAGATTATAGATTATAGATTAGATAGAAGAAAAAATAAGCTGATGACAGCTATCTCAAGATAAGGTGATGACAGCTACCAAGTTATCAGTGTGTCACCCGCAGCCTCTACCACCTACCACACAGGCCACCAAATACTTCACATTTTTTACATCACCAGATTTTTACAGCATCATCAGAAAGAAGTGGGCTGCCTAGATACTTCCTATGGGATGGACTGGAAAGGCTCAGCTGGGGAGGTCCTGCACAAAGGACATGGGCTGGACTTCCACGATTCCTTTGGTGCATTTACCTTGCTGAGCTGGAAGCTGGCAGGAGCATCATCTTTCTCCATGTTAACAGGGTTGGCTGCGAGACTCCATTTGGTCCTGCCTGTCTCTCCCTATTGATTCTTTCTTCGGCTGAGTAATTAAGTATCAACTGAGTGCCAGGAACTACTAGACACCAGAGCCAGAGTACACACGAAACAAAATTGGAGCCTCTATGCTGCAGCAAAGCCCAAGGGCCTTATCTGCTGCGGATGAATGACATTTAAAGGAAAGAAAGACCAGAGTAAGGGAAGCTGGGGAAATCACAGCCAGGAGACCTAAGGGGATGGGATGGCAAGGATGGCGGGGGTGTCTCCGGACAGCAGAGTCCAGTTGGAGCAGGAGACTCAAGGCCAAAGGGCAGCTGGATGTGAGGCTGAGAGGTGCGCTCATGAGGCGTGGCCTGCGCTGGGCTGCTCCCCAGTGTTTGCTCTGCCTTGTGTGGTGGACCCAAAGGAGGGCTGTTTTCCACCGTCAAGGACGGTCCAAGTTCAGCCTGGACCTTTCTCTCCAGCCGCGCAGGCCCCACGGCCCCACGGACGATCGATTTGCTCACCCGTGGGCTGGGCATTGCCAGCAGCCTGGAGCTCTCTCAGTAAGACGAAGCTGCTCAGTGCACCTTTCGCAGTGCAGCGTTTTAACCACCATGTCACTTCTGTTCATTTTAAAACAAAAAGGCAAACAGTGTGATTTGTGTAGTGACAGACTGAATGCACCAACACCTTTTCATGTCAAATAACAGAGCGTACACAAAGCCACAAGTAAAACTGTCTCTTTTCATCCACAGTCCAAAATCTGATGTGTGTCCTGCCAGCCTGTGTTCCATGCTGCTGTTTACTTTATGATGGTGCAAAAGTCACAGGCATCTGGAAGCAACTGGACTTTGAATTCTGAATTTGGAGCTTTTCCCCAGCTGGTGCCCATGGGCAGATCCAGCATGAGGGACAGGAGCTCCCAGCTGGCCCTGTGGGCTTAGGGTTAGTGAAGCCGTCCACTCCACAGCCTGCATGCCGAAGCCAGGGTGTTCATCAGGAGAGTCAGATTTGGTGCATCCTCTACTTAAGGTAGTTTCGATTCACAATGAGGTTATGGGATGTGGAGGAGGACACCTACTCACACATGCAGATACACACGCATACACAATGGTTTTGACTTGCATTCTTAAGTTACTTTTTTCTCTGATCATTTCATATTTCATAATATGCTTTGGAAATCCTTCCAGGTCACTATGAATATTTATTTGTCCTTTTAAAATGTGCAATGTCCCATAGAATGACAGAGTTACATTATTTAGCCACCTCCTTGTTGAGGGACAGCTACATTGTTGCCAATGTTTCAGAAATGCTACAGCTCCCACCCTCTATCCAAACAGCTTTTCCCTTTGCAGCATGGGCCAAATGGCTCCTTCTAACCTACACCCAGGGCTGCCCATTTTCCTGTTAAAT